GTTCAGTGGGCCTGCTAACCGCTTTACTCTTCCCACTTTGTAGAAAAACGCTCTCCAATGGACAAAGGCAACCTCGGAGTCAGAGACGCCATCAGAGCCGGCTGGCAGCGCCGTTCCTCCAGGGTCCAGCAGCAGCACCCCAGTGTCGGGCTCAGCTGCAGCCCCAGTCGGCCCCAATGAGGCGGCTGAGCAGGAGAGCTGTGACTCCACTGAGACTACCGCTGCTGCCAGCGCAGACAATGATGGTAACACTACACCACACGCTTATGACCTCTCATTACGTACACCAGAGTCACGCTGAGAAACGGCACTATCGGCAAACGTTAGTCGATCAGATTATAATTTAGAATAGGATCTGCTTTTCAGAAGAATCGTAGAGATAATACCGTTGTGAATGATAAGTAGATGAAACCCTGGGTAGTGAAATATCCAGCAATTATTTATTATGTGAAGTTGTGTCTGTGCTGCTTTTTGTTGAGATGCTGTTTTTTTAAAAAAATCTTTTGAGGATGTGTTCTTTATTCCATGAGGGTACTGGCCACTGTTCACCAATGACGGTGTCTTCACTGTTCAGACATGTTAATAACAGGATATATTTTTCCTTGGCTTCAAGTCTCGGTAGATGAGAGTTCGTCCAGTGCTTCGTGCTCCGCAGAGCTGCAGGCTCCATCCACCCAGCCCCAGACCCGCCTCAGCAGGGCAGCAGGACAGCAAGGACGCACCGACACACAGCAGACCCAACACGCCCAGACCAGGCTGAGCCGCTCAAGACAGGTCAGAAGCCTCGACGGAGCCGGTGGCCGCTCCATGTCAACAATGGAAACGTTAATGTGCTCAGTTTGAATGGATTCAGTGAAATTCTGCGGTGCTGCCACAGTGTTTGTTGTAGAGTTGAACTGTTACAGGGTGTGATGTGACGTGTTCCTTGGTTTTGGGAGGTACGTTTCTGGTACAGTAGAGAAAACAAAAGTAAGGCATAAATTAACCTTTCTGTCAATCATTTATTCTGAAAAAGATTCCAAGCAACTATGAGTCTCTGATTGATCATTAGTCCTCTTGTAACAGTTCAGCACTCTGACTTGTGGACACTCAAGTATAAAATGAGTAACATTAAACTTCATTACAACAACTGAGACGTATTTATCGTTAATGTAAATTAAACTCCCGTACCAGCAGTTTAACATGCCGTTACACCCCCAGTGCTGTCTAACTGTCTGCACTTACCCATTCCACCATGTCTCTACAGTCAGGGAGGCAGAGAAAGAAAGCTGTCATGATGCCACGTGTCGTCCTCACCCCTCTGAAAGTGAATGGAGAACATGTCCCCTCAGGTAAGAACTGCTCTCATCCTGATAACAGCATTAACACCATTCATAAACGACAGAATTCAGAATGCAGATGATAGATCAGACTTCATTATTGTAAATATTACAGATAACCAACATTAAAACAAGATGGAAATCATACTGTCGAAACAATAAATAAGGGTTTAATTCAGTCAGTTCATCGACTAAGTAACCAGCAGGCGTGTCAAAAACATTAGACAAGAAAACGTCTTTGTGTGACTTTATGTGCTCACATCCTCGAACATAGAAACAGCTTCAGCATCAGGCTGCAGGGATGAGTTAAACGTGTTTTGATTTTGTGTTTTTTCTATTGTGACAGGGCCCATGAAGAGGAGTCGAGGAGGGGTGGATGTAGACTTTGAAACACCAGGCTCTATCCTGGTCAACACCAACATCCGAGCCCTCATCAACGTCCGGACCTTCTCGGCCTTCCCCACACACTCACAGCAGCAGCTGCTGCAACTGCTGCCAGAGGTGGACCGACAGGTAGCTTGTTTTGCTGTTCCTCCAGTTTATCCCTGTTGTTACCGGTGCAGAAATATGTATCCTCTAATATAATTAGCACACCACATCAGTGATGAGAAAAGAATCAAACCAGTATTTTGGACATTTTGTGCAGCAGCAGGACCATCACTATTGCTCTGCAATATTTTCTTAAGAAGTGCATTTCAAGTGAAACAAGGACAGTTGTGTGCAGCACAAGTTTCAGGTGTC